GTTCAGACGTGTGCTCTTCCGATCTCCCCAAAACCCCAAAACCCCAAAACCCCTACAGTGAAGTATGATTTTAAATAAGGTTGTTAATAATAAGAGACCCATGAATAAATAAACTAACAAAAATATATATAGATGCTTTGCCAACTAAAATACAATTAAATCTACAATCATTTAATTAATTCTATTTTCAGATGTTCAGCATCTGCGGGTCCTTTCCTAAGAGGGGATCCGTTCCTATAAAAATGAAAAGTTTGAATATTACTTAATAGATATATAAATATTATACTTAAACATATATGAAAATATATATCAATAACCCAATGATTTGTTGCAGATATTTTTAAGACCCTGACCAATAGTGAACCTCTCTAAGTTTTCCATGAAAATATTGAATGTCACCAAGTAGGAGTCCTCTGTCATGTCAGCACAGTGAGGAGTTATAACTACATTAGGCATTGCCCACAACTCACTGTCAGAGCTGAGCGGTTCAGTGTAGAAAACATCTAACATTGCACCTGCGATAGACTTCTCTTTTAAAGCTTTGATTAAATCAGCCTATATTATTAATTTATTAAATTCATGCATCTAGATATTATAATTTACTTCTATAACAGTTTAGCCGCGACCAATGTTCATGTAAACAGCTGATTTTTTCATCTTGATAAACAATTCCTCAGTGAATAGCTCATGAGTCTCCTTCGTATAAGGGAGGCAATTAATAACAAAATCGCAAGTAGAAAGCAGGTAATCCATCTGATCAAAGCCAATTATTTCATCTGCATAAAGTTTCTGTTCTTCAGGTGTGTTTGATGGGTTTCTCTTTAGGCCTACAACCTTCATATGAAGAGTGCTCTTAATGAGTTTGGCACATTAGCATCCTATATCACCATAGCCAACTATGCCTACTTTATATTAATTAGCTAGTCTCAGCTTTGACTATGAGTGATATTTTGATTAATCTTGATGAAGCATTTGAGAGCCTTGCTAAGATGAAAAGAATAGCAGTCCATAAATGATAAATTCAGCGAGAGAATTGCTAAATGCACCCTTGGCGTTTGTGAGGATGATACCATCGTTTTCTCTCAACTCAGTCACGTTGCAGAGCAAGTCGATCCCAGCTAGAAGTGAATGAACCCATTTCAGCTTTTTGGAATTAGAGCATTAGTCTGGCATTATTTCCTTGGCAAGAGCTGGATTACGTACAAGTATCACATCAAAGTTGTATTTTTGCTCTTCATTCATTTCTTGATATTGTTTAGTTGACTTAAGCAGAGTATAGTCACACTATTCACCTAATTGCTCAAATTAGGGCTTCATCGCATCCAAGTAGACTTGCTGATTAATGACTACGAGAACGTTGATTCTATTTTCTACCATTATAAAAATTTGCAAATGCTTAGTATTTAAGTATAAAAGATATTAATTTATTAGAGAGAGATATATAACTAAATGTCAACTTTAGATGAGATATTACTCCAAAACGAAATCAAATAGTTGCTCTGATGTGAAATCTAAGTCTTTTAATAAGAGTTTCTGGTGAGCTATTTCCTAGTCTATTAATTTTCTTTCTGTAATTAGCCCAGTAATCAACTCTAGATCCAATAATTAGGAATCAATTACATCAGTCCCGAAATGAGCAAGAATAATTTTGTTCTACCTTTATAGAATCTTTTCGATAGACTCTTTTGAAAAGTTTATGACGACTTGGTAATTCTCAAATTCATCCTTTTAAATACTTTCAAGATTTGTCACCATTTTAATTGTTTCAACATTCATTCCATTTTGGAGTGAATTGATGACTTCCTAACTACATTGACTCTCATCTGCTATGATAAGTACAGATTATTAATCAAACATTCTTACTTAGACTTGCCTCCACTCATTTTTGCTTTTAGATTCAAACATTTCTGGCATTTTCTTGAGAAAGTGCAAAATAGAGAATATCAAGAATTCTATTCTATATTAATTTATAATGCTATTAAAGCTTATCGTTTCAACATCTTTTAAAGGAGAATCTCTTAATAATTTCTCCATTATTTCTTGATTATCAATATCATCCAAAAATACTCTAGATATATTACTCAACTGAAAATTTTAATTGCGAAAACTTTCTATAGATTCAATCATTAATGATCCATTTTCAAAATCTTTATTAGCAATAGCTTGCTTTTTGAATTCTTCAAGCCTTTTATCGTTTTAAGTCAATAAGAGTACTTTAGCAATTGTTTATATATTTTCCATTAAATTATGATTATTAATTTTAATGTTAATAATTAATATTTAATCAAGAATCAATTAGTATGCTTAATATGATTTATCTATCACAGCTTGATCTTTTGCTTATTTTGCTTTTGTAATATTATCTTGGGCAAACTTGCATTGGAAGTCTTTTGGTTTGATAATGATTTAGTGCTTGATGGTCTTTCTTCTCTAATCGTCATTTATTATGAAGTAAATCCTGTGATCAAGTTGTCTAAGTCACCTCCACTAGTAGCATTGAAAGGCCCATCTAAGTTTCTATAGGGTGAATTGATTCTTGCTCTCTCAGTCATTGGTCCTGTGCCCGCACCACCTCCTATCAACTTAGATAAATCAATTTAATTCTGTTTCTTGCTTAAGAGCTACTTTACAGAAAAATTATTTCCATCCTTGATGTCGACACTGACTGAATTTTTATGTGATAGTCTGTTTTGGAATGACTTTTGATTTGCTTGAACGCTGAGTCTGTGGCTGTTTTATGGCAACTTAGTCCAAACATTATAATCTCCTGTTGGCATATTTGGAATAGATTAAAGACCAATTCCACAGCTACCACATGACCATCCACCTAATGGCTTTGTTGCTAAGATTACTTCGTTATCATTGAGCAAAGTCTGGGTCCCGGTTCCCTCTTATCTTGGTGAAGTGCTGCTTGCAGATCTATTATTATTTGATCTGCTTGCTCCTTTGAATGTATACTCTTAGAGAGATCTTATCTATAAGTCAATATCTTTGGACAGTCGATTAAAATCAGTTTTCCTCACATATATTTTATTACAATTTGATACTATCTAATCCATGCCTCTTGACAAGTGATCATCAAGCTGAGTTAAATCTTCTCTAGTAGCTTTATCTCCCACCTTATTTTCTAAATTGGTGAAAGCTTTTAACAATTGGTCACGAAGCTTAACAACTTCTGAAACAGCAATGTCAGTTTTATCCTTAATCTCTTTAGAAAGCCTTTCGTCTAATTGTGACTCAGTATCACCATTCTTACCACCTCCTATCATTAGTAACTTAATAGAATCATTTAGTTTAAAACTAAGATCAGTGTGTTATTGCTACAATTTTTTGAAAGCTGTCTCAAAATTATCTTATCTATTTTCAATTGATCTCATATTAATTGCTGATTACTTTCCTTTCTCACCCAAGAATAGGTCACAAGTTCTGAACTCAGCTAGCTAGACCAAAGTTTCAGTAATTCTTATATTAACCTCCTCAACAACTGCAGCTAGTTTTTTATTATCCAAGACACTGGCTTTCTTTTCTACAGTACTTTAAAGATCAATAAACATTTCTTTAAGGTTTTCAATGTTAGATCTTGCTTGATCTATCTTTGAGTTATCAATCAGCTTTTCTAGATTAATCATTCTGTTCTATAAATCTCTGAGCTGTTTTGAGTCCTTATTGCCTCCACCTATAATGATTTATTTAGCTCTGTTTTTTTCTTCAGGTGCAATTGGTAAGATTATTTAATTGCCTTGAATTTTGGAAGGTGTTTATCCAATCGTTGTAGCCTTAATTCCTTTAGTATTAGCATTTATTTTAAGTGTTCCATCAACCTATCTTGGATCATTAACATATATATTGGTTTAACTCTTGTTCTCTGAGTTCTTGATCTATGAGACATTGTTAGTATTGCTCTGTTCTACAGCTGGACTTGATAGCATTGAGTCTGATGCAAAAGCAAAATCATTTCCATTTATAGCTAAGACTAAATTATCAAGATCATCTTAGTTAGCTTTATCAAGTATCTCCACTTTTAGACTGTTCACATCATTTGTAAGGCACTGCATCAAATCGTTGAAATTGTCATTTTCTAGGACTTGAATTTCGTTCTTACTTAAATTCCTGAGATGTAGCTTTCTAATGTATTTTGAATCAAATTCTTATCTTAATTTCTCAACCATGTCCAAAAGTTCAGAGCCCTCAGCAACTTTTAGCTAGCCTATAGTGGCTGTTTTCAGTTTAGTTGAAAGCTCGTTTACTTTGTCATTTACCAGATTAACTTAATCTTAGAGATCATTAATCATATCTAATTTCCCAGTATGCTGTGAAAGTATTTCATCATTGTTAATCATAGCAGATAGATCCTGTGTATTCCTGTTTGCCTTGATATCCCTTAAATTCGATCCAAGTTGAGATGGTTCCTTAATAATTTCTAAATTAAAGCTCTAAGTTTGCTTGAACTAGTCCCCTGTCCTTGACGGTGATGGACTCCTTCTCGTCTTGCCTAGTAATTTGTTACACAAGTAATTTTACTTGATCTGATAAGATTGATTTGATTCTTGAGATCTTGAATTAAATCATCGTATTCAATGGTCTTTTCAATTACCCCGTCCTACACTTCTTTCTTGATTCTCTTGAACTCATTCTTGATGTAATTGTTATTCACAAAATCTTTGAATTCTTCATTCAATCTAGCAATTTAAAATGTATTGGACTTACTTAATGACCATTTTCTCTTGAGCGTTGAACTACTGCCTCATCTCTACAAACTCTCTGTCATGAAAAGCACATGTTTTAAAAAGGTAAGCGATAGCTGTCTGAATCATAGACAGGTCAACACTAAGATCCAACTTGATCAAACTTTTCATATCGAATTAGGGGTTTTCGAGTTTCATACCCATTTCAAGTTATGACTATAGAGCGCTTTAATTGTGGATCATTTGTATTCCACCAGAAGAGAAAGAGTTACTCATTTTCAATTTATTGTTTACAATGTTTATAATTATATTTTTAATATGTTTAAATTTATTTCAGAATTTCAAAACATATATATATAGAAATCTTTAGGGGTTTTGGGGTTTTGGGGTTTTGGGG